CCAGAGAGGTGTCCAGATCCTCACATTCTGTGGAGAGATTACAGTGCATCTCAAGTTCATAACTTTGGCCAGTGGTTTGCTGCTTTTTGAATCAAGAGATCCTAAAATCTCAGGTAAGGTATTGCCACACACAAGCTCCTGCCTCCTATTCCAGTGAGGTCAAAACCTTGGTGAGGGTGTATGGCTACAGGTATAAGGAAAATATTTCTTGTATTCACAAGGTGCTGTATGAAATACATGAAATAAAATGGCATTACATGAATGGAACACTTTGCTTTAAACACTCAACCCTTCAATTTCTGGATTGTTTCAAATTGGAGCAACATTAGGATATGCAGAGAGAAGCTTTGTACTCCAGAATGGAGGTAACTCTCATCCTTCTCTCCCTCCTCAAGTGTTTGAGGCAGGCTCTTTCCCTTCCTTTCCTTCAGAAATGAAAGCAACTGTCTACAACTTGTGCTTCTTCCCTGGGGAATGAGGAAAGACAGCTCAATCCAAGCTTCTGAGCTCTCTTCTGCCTCCTGATCTTCTGGGACTTGCAGTGGATCAGCTTGAAGTGTAAATCTCAGTGGTGATGGCACTGCAGTTTTAGAGGAGCCTGCCTTGCACCCCCTGAGTCCTGAGGTTAAGATAGACTTCACAGCTGGGCTACCCAGTACATTGCAGTTTGGTGTGAAAACTTTGGAAATTTGTGTGATGGAAGATTTCACCAGAAATTTAACTTGCTTTGCAGACTTTTTTTTTCAAGATTGATTTTTCTGCACAAAAAATATAAGCTGTTTCATTAAAGTTGACTTCTTGAAAAAAAAAATCATTGTCCATCTCATCAGAGAATCTCCAGCTAGTTGTGAACAAACATTGTTTTTAACCTTCCTATTCCTTTAAACATGAGGCATAAGTAATGCCTAGTGTGTATTTCCTTGGCATGCCAATCTTCTGATTTGGTCTCCTGGAGTTAAAAAACAGCACATTATATTTTTGGCTGTTGGGCAGGCCATAACAGCAAATCCAAAGGGATTTGCCTGTAAACAGGCTAGATGGGGTGTGGTTTCCAATGATTTAAATACAGAATACCACCAGAAGGTGAAACAAGGAGGAGGGGGGAGAGGATACACCAGTGGAGGGGTTGTGTTGGTGGCTGTAACCTTTGGAAGACTGCTCACTGTACAGAGCTGTCTCCTCAAAGAAATATTTGGGAATAATTGTATAGCGGTGAGAAGAGGAGGGAAAGACCCTTACTTCTTGCTGATGTTGCTCAAAAGGTTTGAGATGCTTGCAACTGTTTCCCGAATTTATTTAGACCTCTAGATAACTTTTCTGATCTGTGGAAGGGGTGAGAGCACCTCTAAATGCAACAGCAAAGCTTGTCTGGGAGCAGACAAGTAAATTAATCCTTGAGCCTCTGCAGATTCTTTGCCACGTTGCTGTGCTCCTCCTCTCTCCTTCAGCTCTCCAGTGTATCAGACAAGCCATTTTCCCTTGATGTTACAACCCATGTAGCTGCTGTACCAAGGCATGTTTGGTGGTGGCATTTACTGAGTGCTTTCTGAAGATTTTCTGGTCTTTATTCCTTCTGGTTATTCTTAGCATCACCGAAGTTCAGCTGGTCCAAGAATCAGTTGTACCCTCATGGATTTAAGGAGCTAGAACACACAGCAAACATGAATGAGCTTTATTTAAAATAGAACCAGTCAGTTCTTTTCCTCACTAAAGAAACAGACTGAGGCAGAGAGCTGGGATGTTTCTCTTCTGTAAAGATCTCACACCAGTCATACCTTAGCTGGTTCCCCTCCTCTTCTTTTGTCAGTGTTATGCATCTGCATTAGCAAGCTGTGCTTTTCATTCCAGAGTGATGAAAGGGAACAACAATAAATTACAATGCCTTTTAAGAAGTCTTCAAATCTTATCAGATCTCACATTTCATCCTGGTTGCTTTCTCATGTCATTCTTTTACTATTACTCTAATTGCCACTCAGAATTTATTTTGCTGCTGTTGTGCACCTAGCACTTGCAGCTACTGTTGAGAAATAGTATGGAGGCAGAAAGCAGAGATCCTCTCCTCTTTTTGTAAATTCCTATTCCTTGTGAAATTCCCAAACTCACAACCTCCCAAGTTTCTGAAAAGAGTGGCCCTCTATGTACTCTGAGGTATTGTTACACTGTTAAAAATGGAAATCTGATGCTGCTTCTTGTGGGGTGGAAGGGAGGAAACTGAGAAAAGTAGCGATTTTCACCCCAGCTGTCTCATGATGCTTGAATGCTGGGAATAGAAAACAATATAACAAATACCTGAAAATGCAGCCACCTACCACTCTTTTATATAAATTCGAGATTGCAAGCCAAATTCACTGTTGACATAAGCAGATGCAAATCTAATGAAGTCACTGCAGTTAGTTCTCCTTATGCCAGAGGTGAATTTGTCCCTATTTTTGGAACGTGCTGGTTTTGTGCTACAGCATTGGCACACTGTATCATGTCAAAATCCTTTTGAGCAATGGCAGTGTGCCACTGGCTGAGTAACATGATGCATCGTGTCAAACATCTGCCTGATAATGGTCCTGATCTGCTTTTTGACAGGATGCATCGTGCCACTGTACCGTGCCCGAAGGCATCTGATAGGAATTCTGTCAGGATCTGATAATAAGAAATGTGTGCTAACTGAAGAGTGGAGCATTTCAGCATTTTGTGGAAACAGTGATCTCTGTGTTAGTGCATTTATAAATCTCTTCCAAATGCCTCATGTACTTGGGTGAAAAATGATCACTAATGTACTCCCACTTCAATGTGTCACATTAACATAATAAACGATAAATCATTTTCTATTTTAGTCTGTTCTGCTTTAAGGACCGATATTGGATTTTCTCCTAAAAATTATCAATAGGTTGATCATTTTTAGGAGAAAAATTGAAAGAATTTGTTTCTATTTGTGATTTTACAGGCTTGTTTTCTTACTGTTATTAAGCGTAGGAGGGTTTTGTTCTGGCTTTTTCAGGTGTCGTTTTTTATTTATAAACACCAGGCCTTGTTCTCACTGCATGTGAGAGCGTTTCACCTCAGACAGAACGGTGCTAAACACATCCTCCCTAAACCAGGAAACATGCTTCACAATCCTCTGCGGCGAGCGGCACACGCTTCCCGGGGAGGATCTGCGAGGGTGGACAGCAGCCAGCCGTCCAGAGGCGAGGAGGCCAGGTGCCAGAGGAATGCCTGGAGGCAGCCTGGCCATGTGCTTGCGGTAAAACCCTCCAGGTCAGGAGTCAGGAGCAGGCTGGTGGCCAGGAACAGCGCACAGCAGAACGTGGTGCTTGCTGTTGCCGGCCTGCAGTCCTGCGAGCGCCGCCGGCGGGATCGTGTCCTGCCTTAGGCTTGCTGCAGTAGGAAATGAGGGGAAACAGATTTCTAGAATTCATAGGGACCAAGCAAAGATTTGTAGATAGCAATCAGCACCTGGATTTTCTGTTTTGGCAAAGAAACCGGTCAGGAGCCCATGCATTTGGTATATGCATTTTATCCTTGCAGGAACTTTGCAGTGACTGCAAAGGTGAGCTTCAGCTGGAGTTCATAGACACAGATCTACAAAATGCAACAAGAACGGGCGATCAGAGTGCTAGTTAAAAAGCATTTAGCTACCTTACAATCTGTATGCAGAAAACTTTAAAAAAAGGAAAAAATGAAAGCTTTGCAGTGATTGCAAAGGTGAGCGCTTCAGCTGGAGTTCATACACACAGATCTACAAAATGCAACAAGAACGGGCGATCAGAGTGCTAGTTAAAAAGCATTTAGCTACCTTACAATCTGTATGCAGAAAACTTTAAAAAAAGGAAAAAATGAAACTAAACATGTCTGCAGGAAATTGGATTTTTGTTCAAAGTATTGCAGTTTGAACGTTTTGGAGATATGCTTTTTACAAACAGGGAATCCTACTGGGGTCAGACAGAGCTACTTTAACTTTTTGTTTTCATCTAACTGTTCTGACCAAGGGGATGTGTCTGTGTGTTTGTGTGCATATATATGCAAAGAGAGGGAGAGAGTATAAATTTAGAATTTTGTATCAAAGGCTTCAATTTCTGGTCACTTTATTAAATGTAGGTAAACTTCAAAACAAATTTTGTGAAAAAGAAACTTCAGCTAATTCATTTTAGACCTGATGAGAAGAATATAAGAGCAAAGAAGTGTAAATCCTTCCAGGCTCATAAGCTGGGATAATGCTAACAAGCCATAGTCTTTTCCATGTGAGGAATGGCATCAAAAGCCTCCAAGCACAGCTCTGCAGCAGGGCAGCTCGCTGGCACAAATGTGCACATGATCAAAGGCTTCAATTTCTGGCCACTTTATTAAATGTAGGTAAACATCAAAACATATTTTGTGAAAAAGAAACTTCAACTAATTCACTTTAGACCTGATGAGAAGAATACAAGAGCAAAGAAGTGTAAATCCTTCCCAGGCTCATAAGCTGGGATAATGCTAACAAGCCATAGTCTTTTCCATGTGAGGAATGGCATCAAAAGCCTCCAAGCACAGCTCTGCAGCAGGGCAGCTCGCTGGCACAAATGTGCACACAGAGGTAGGCCAGGAAAATATTTGAATACAACTGAAGTCATTACAACCAGATCTGAGTTTTCCATGTATTTTTCAAGCTGAGAAGGACACTTTTTTTTTTTTTTAAACATTATGGTACAAATGTGGGGAGGGAAGAGAGACTACGGGCTACTTCAGCCTGCATCCAACATACATCCTGTGCAACACGTAGGTTCCCCCTTCCTCCCAGACGAATTTCCAGGATGAATCCCTGGAGGTGGAAGCGTGGCTCATACAGGTGACACCTACTCCAGCGAGCCCTCGCTGCTCCAAAAAACCCTCCCGGGAGCGCCTCCCGCTCTGAGCCGGCAGCGGCGGGGCCGCGCTCCGCGATCCCGGCGATGCTCCCCGCGGGGCGCTGGGCGGGGCCGGGCCGGGCCGGGCCGGGCC